GTCTCTGCCTTGGTCCTTTCACTATTGGCTGCTACTTCCCGGTGGATGTCAGGTGGTGCAGTACCGGCTAAGCAGTGTAATTTCTCCAGTAGTGTAGGGCGCAGACACCTCATGATAATGTGGCATGTCTCATTAAGAGCCACATCTACTGTTTTAGTGTGGTGAGATGTGTTCCACACTGGGCATGGACAGTCAAAGTCCATTTGAGTGATGGACAGGTTGTTTTAACTGCCATGTGTCTAATGTTCTCACCAACCAAGCCAGCAAACAGCACTTGGTCTCAATCTGCTGGGAGATCTTCCTGTTAAAACTTCCCTGGGTTTGCTTGCTGGCTGGCTTTTATGAGCCTGACGTAACCCTCAAACCAAACAGAACAAAGAAAGGGACAGAAGAAGTCTTGCACTAACACAAAGGAGGGCTTACACAGCTCACACAGTGGACAGTGTTTGTGTCCAGTATTTAGATGAAAAATAGGAAAGCAGCTTAGAGTCTGTGTGCAGGATGTAGATGAAAAATAGAAAAACAGAATTTACATAATTTACATACCTGTTCAACGGTGAGGAAAATCCTGCCTTGTCAAACAGGTTTATTTTGACATGAAAATAAAAAACTCATCAAAATCTAGTTGAGCCTTACTGAATAAAAATTGAAGAGGAGCAAGAAGAAGAGGAGGGGCAGAGGTGGAGGGGGGACCCCGCTGAGTCAATCAATCATAATGTGTTTGTTTCAATTGGATTTTCTAGCAAGAAGGGTCAAGTGAGATCTGCTACTAGATTCTTCCAGTTCCGGAGAAGCCTTGAGCTTTCCTATGCTATGAGGCGGGAATAAAAAGAAGAAAGACTGATGCTGAAACGTCAGGGTTATGAAAAGGACTCCTCCGAACCATTCCTGTAAATGCTGCAACATCTGTCATCTCCTTTCTATGTCAGGCAAATGTAATGCAAAATGCATCTCAAAATGAATAGTACAGGTAGGCAAGAGCTTCTGTTTCTAATTGCTTTTAGGAAGGAGAGCACTTTTGCAAGATGTTTATGCAAGAGCTCTGCTTCATTTGCGCTGAGCCTTCATAAGGTGCCACCATGGAGGTTGTTTCAGAACTTTGGGACTTAACCTCTTCATATGTTAAGAGGCCTATCTAGCTCACTGTTTGTGAGCCAGGTGGTAAGGCTTCCTCACCTCTTTACACTGTCAAAGGTGAAGAGCTGGAGAAGAGAGCAACCACAGAGCTAAACAGGTCAGCCCTTGCCAGTTGACCAGGTGAAAAGCTGACTACTCTGTTTGTCTGCAAGTTGGGACATGGGAGAAGACTCCCACAGGATGGTATAACATCCTGGCGTCCCCTGGGAAATGTCCTTGTGTCACCAAAATTTAATGTGCAGATTTGATAAATGTGGATGTAATGATTTATTATTTATCGTGTCATCAGCAACCATTGTATTACAATTCTAACAGAGCAAAACAAACACACAGATTAAAAAGAAAAAGAAAAAAACACACAGATTTTGCAAATTTGGTAGTTGGTTAAATGTCCTTTGACCAGTATCTGGCCACTTGGAGTGCCTCTGGGGTTGCCACAAGAAGGTCCTCCATTGTGCATGTGGCAGGGCTCAGGGTGCATTGCAACAGGTGGTCAGTGGTTTGTTCTTCTCCGCACTCGCATGCTGAGGATTCCACCCTTTCTTAAGATTGGCTCTGCATATCGTGGTGCCAGAGCGCAGTCTGTTCAGTGCCTTCCACGTCGCCCAGTCTTCTGTGTGCCCAGCGGGGAGTCTCTTATCTGGTATCACCCATGAATTGAGGTGCTGTGTTTGGGCCTGCCACTTTTGGGCTCTCGCTTGCTGGGGTGTTCCAGCGAGTGTCTCTGTAGATCTAAGAAAACTATGTCTTGATTTAAGTCGTTGACGTGCTGGCTGATACCCAAACAGGGGATGAGCTGAAGATGTCTCTGCCTTGGTCCTTTCACTATTGGCTGCTACTTCCTGGCGGATGCCAGGTGGTGCAATACTGGCTAAGCAGTGTAATTTCTCCAGTGGTGTGGGGCGCAGACACCCTGTGATAATGCGGCATGTCTCATTAAGAGCCACATCTACTGTTTTAGTGTGGTGAGATGTGTTCCACACTGGGCATGCATACTCAGCAGCAGAGTAGCATAGCGCAAGGGCAGATGTCTTCACTGTGTCTGGTTGTGATCCCCAGGTTGTGCCAGTCAGCTTTCGTATGATGTTGTTTCTAGTGCCCACTTTTTGTTTGATATTCAGGCAGTGCTTCTTGTAGGTGAGAGCATGGTCCAGAGTGACTCCCAGGTATTTAGGTGTGCTGCAATGCTCCAGTGGGATTCCTTCCCAGGTAATCCT